AGCCCAAGATGGAGGGAAGAGGAGGGGCATCGGAGGGGAGGGGGAGATTTGTTGGAAAGCTCTGGAAATGGGCCTCCATCCCCAAAAGGCTCAGGGCTTGGGATTCACGGCATCATCAGCAAGACATTAATAAGACGTTTTTATCTAGGGTGCCCCCGATCGTAAAGCTGGGTTACGAAGTAGCCCCTTTGCACCTAATAAACGGACTCTCTCTTATTCCCCACTTAAGCCTTTGGTTTAATCTTGGCAATTCCAATGTGTCTCCAGCTTCACAGATTTATCTGAAGGCAGGACTAGGTTGAGGGACACTTGGTTATCCAAGTCCCCAAAACTCTTCCAAAGCAAGAGAGCATGATATACATTTAATAAAACCCACAGTGTGTGTCTTGCTCCCAGAGTGACAGTGATACTCATTCCTGTGATTTCTTAGAGACATGCACAAATGGGATGATTTGTATGTGGACCAATTTCCTCAGAGCGCAAATACAAGAGTCCAAGACTTAATTATGTGTGGCGGGAACCACAAGAAACGTATCTGTTTAGATATAGATCTTGGTCTGGTTCCAAGTTGCTTGGTGGAGGACGCATACCCTCGGAAAAGCAGGGGAGTGCATGAACTCAGCTGTCAGAACTTTGTCAGGAAAGTGAAAGGAACTTTAGGAAACGGGGCTTTGGAGCGGTACTGGTGGGTTGTTAGGGAAGCTCTGGCACCTTCAATTCTGAGGATGTCAGGACCACCTGTTTTTGCCAGGGCATCTTTGGTGCCGGGAAAGAAGCAGGTGGGACTCACGGGTCAGGCAGCCCTGAGGAGAGACAAAGGGATGGGCAAACTCTGTCAAGGACAGTGTGTGCAAAGGCCCTGGGGCAGGAGGCACCCAGTAAAGGGTGGGGGCATTGGCACTTCAAGGGAGAGCTATATGGGCACCTCACCCCCACATTATATAAACATGTAAAGGTTTTATATACAACCACACTGGGTCACAAGCATCATCCCAGCTCAGAGTCAGCCCTCCCTCTGAGCAGTAGGAAATGACAGGACAGTTGCAAATGTGAGGCCCCTCAGCAGGGGGTCTGGGCTCTGCTGTGCACACACTGCCCGTGGGCACCCGGGAATCTGGGCTCTGCTGTGCACACGCTGACCGTGGGCACTGGTGATATGCTTCTGCTGCCCGTGGGGGTCAGAGTGCTCTTGTCCACAAACTTGCGAGTATCCAGACATGGATGGAGGTTTGAAGGGACCCCTGCGGGATGATGTATCTCTTCCCCGCAGGGTACCTGAACGACGTGGATCGTGATGATGGACGCTACCCACCCAGGCCCCGGCCCAGGCCACCTGCAGGTAGGTGGGCACCCCCGGATGTGCCCAGAGAGGGTGGGCAGTGAGGCCTGAGGTCACAGGGTGAGGGCCACGACGTTGGGATTGCATGTATAACATGTGGTTATTTCTATGTGTGGAGCAGTGGGTTTCTGGGTATAGACTTACCCTTCTATTATACCGGCATCCTTATAACTCTGCATATGTGTGTATATAAGCTTTTATGCATAGCTGTGTATCTCTGAGTGTGTATGCACTTTGTAATACATGTATGTCTATACATTTTTATAC